CCTGAGACTCTCAGGTTCTCCAGATATTGTCGGAAGATGATGTACGAGCGATGAGTAGCAGACCTAGAAGTCAGCCGAGACGGTCAATGACTCGTAGTGACGAGGAGGATGACGATGACGATGGAGAAAATGCTCCTCCGACCGTGCACGGTACCATATTTTGTCGTGTTACGGACTTATTCCGCATTAGCTGATTATTGAGGGGAGATTTCATTGGCGATTACGATAGGACTCGCGCCCTAGGTTTGCGCTCGTTCTGAATGTCGTTGAACTCCGATTAACGAATTCTATTCGAAATAGACTATTTCTCAAACTTTGCGTAATAGAGTTGATTCTAGTAATGATAGAATAGTAAAAAATATTCCAATAATAGAGTGGATTATGCTCCTCATACACACTCATAGCTCAACGAGCTAAGCTCGTCTTGTCGGTTCCTGTCGCCGGTATGCCACTACAGGCTTGTGAAGGTAGGTTATTCCTTTCAGACACCCTCGGCCCGATTGAATCGAGTCCTGCGAGAGATCATGATACGAGTTGTAAGGCGAATGTCACAGCGACATGTTTTGCTCAGAGTATTTGTTTACAGTTGAGCTATCCTCTCCACCGAGTCATTCTCCTCATCGCCCGTCCGCCCCTCAAGAGCTGGTATTTGGCCCAAAGGTCATTCCGCCCGAAGAAACTAAGGAGGATGGTACGCATGGCTCCGCGTTAGCTGAATTGGATCGGGGATGTCCCAGGGTGGCCCAGAATGCTATTTTTCTCGAATAATGAGTATGATCCATTCTCCCCATTTCTGGACCATCGTGGGGATCTCGGACAGACAAAGTCGTCCGCAGCCTGGATATCAGGGATTCGGGTCTAGAGTGTCCTCAAGGTCTTTCCTCGTCTTTTCGGGGAATGATTGTCACTGACAATTTGTCAGTTAGATGATATTCAATGTAATGCAAATGTTATGAGATCATCGCCTCACGCAACATTGGGGAGCAAATCATGATGCGCTGTCAAACGACGATATATGTTCCACAATATATCATGATGGTATATTGTAGCATTCAACCCGACAGCGTTAGTGATCTTGCGAGGAGTAGATTGTTCGGTATGAGTGCAGTAACCAGACCAGGTTCAAGGGTTCTGTCGTGTGGAATGTAACATTCCGAATTTTCAAGCGAGTCTTCCAGAGAGATGTCACAAGTCCAGCGCACTGCTGAAGGCTTGGAGAATGCCGGATTGGATCAGGAATGCATCGCATATCCTTCTACTATCCGCGAACAATTCACAATGTGCTATAATTTGTAGCATATAGTGAGGTGGTATGACCCAAGCTGTATGGACTGTAGAGAGTTCATCTGCTCCTGTGTGGGCTTTCTGAGAGAAAAGTCTGCTACCACATTATTGGCATCGCTTATCAGTTCGGGAAGATGGACGACGAGGAGAAGAAAAAAACTTCCCTATCGTATTGCGAAGCCGTCCCACGGAGTTTCAACGAGGCAGTGAAAGGATAAGCGGTCCTTTGCACATTGAGTTTTTCCCATGGAGAATCCGCTATTGTCATACTTATATTAAGGGCAGTTATAGACTTGGCTGGTAAGGGTTATTGAGCGAGCTTGGAGGAAACTTCAGTGGGAAAACTGTAGTTCGCAGATCGTCGTGAGGTCCCTGGTTTCACGGTGAAAGAGAGAGTTAGGCGACCTCTGTGTTTGAGCGTTAGTCATTGGAGGATGGTAGTTGCGCGACCGTCGCAGACCAATATAGCATGGCTTAGATGAACTTGATACTATAGTGGTTAGAGTGGGAGTGATTCTAACTTCAACGTCGTACTCGATCTGTACGGAAGACTTTCGCCGAAAGTTACCTTCTAAAAGCATCAGTGGCCTGAGCATGTCACTAGCGAGTATGAGTTGTGTTTGCGGAGGCAAGCGTTAGCTTTCCTCGATGTCGTTTTCCCTACCGTGGTCGTAAATATTGGGGCATTCCCAATGTATTTGCCTGTTAGAGGGCACCAGACAGTGGTCGTTCCACCGGAATGACTACGTTTCAGCTTTGTCGGCCCCTCGTTAGCCGATGCGCATCGATGACATCAAGCTCGCACACACACATGTCTTAAATTACGAATATTGAGACTCTTAATATTCTCCATTTGTCGGTCGAGTACGGACTAAGTTAGTCCGACTAACACATAATTATTAAGTTATTTTTCAGTGCTCGAGATAAGTGCGACATCAGCATGGCGGGCTGGCGATGACAGGGATATCTCGTCCTCGACAGCAACGGACACACATCTTGCGGTTGAAGAGGGAGTAGAGGGAGACAGGTTCTTCATAGGTGCTCCCCGTTAAGGTGTGAGATTTATATGATGGCGTAGTTTTTCTTGGAAGCACTATGATATGATAATCACTTTTTTTCACACGAATTTTGTAAACAAGTCTACGCTCCCTCGTCAATTGTCATTCAATGACAATTTGTCCATCAAATCTATAATTTATGTAGTTGTATCAAGTTTATGTAGTCGCACGGCAATACTATAGCCGCAATACGGCAATCCTCCACATTCCCGTCACCTCTACGCAATAATATCCTCATCGAGCCGTATCTTGCCTTGCTGTCTTGCTCAGGAACGCCTCACGACGGCCCCAGCGACATCTCATGGGTGGAGACCTCAAGCGAATCGTCAGTATCTCCGACACGTGCGAACCACTCAAGGCTGGTACCGAATGGTCGGCCTGAGGTATTTGGCTGGTCGGAATTTTGTGTCTCAGTGATCATTCTCTCCATTTAGACACAGTCGCCAGATAACAAAGCGGGGTGGCTGTCATCGTGGCTTGGACGTAGTAGAGCTGCCGAAGAACCGATGAACGTAGGGCTCGCACTCAGAAATTCTGTTAACTCAACCTTCTCGGAGAGACTGTTCTCTTGTCGATGGAGATGGACTTGTTTTAGAGCGCAGGGAGTGACAGATGGGAGGTCAGCAGTGGAACGAGCATCACTAGTGGCGCCTCTGGGAGGGGAAGGAGTTTGTCAAGGAGTCGGAAGTAAACACTCGGAATTGCGCTTCATTTGCTTAAAGTGATGCCTTGTTCGATTCACTGTGAATTCAACTGGACTATATCAGGAAGACAGTAAAGTTGGTGATAGTGTGGTTATTAGTCTTTTTCGAAGTAGGCCTCATCCTTCCGGCTCATCGGCCTCGATCCGGTCGTCATCTCTGTCATCAGTGTCTAGTATCGGTAGCTCGATTTCCAGTGTGAACAACAAAGCAGTCCGACGAGGTGATGCACGACAGTCCAGGTAGGGGAACTAGCAATGTTCTTTCGAGATCACGATTATGGGGATAGAACTCGCCAAATCTGTTTCAGATCAAGCTTCCGACGGGAGAATCGGAATCTTCTGATTGCACAAGCGACGGGTCAGGGAGCTGAACGTCATAAGTTTTTGGCATCTCTTCGGGAAGAAGGACGCCTCGCTGCGAGGAATCAAGAGGAGTACAAGTCCGATGAGTGCGAAAGGTTTTGAGAAATTCCGTGGCGCATGGCTTTTGTCCTCGCTGATTAGGTTATTTGTCAGCCAAAGTGGTCCCGCTTGGGCGTGGTAGCGTTACGCTACTAGCGTATGAAATTCATCAGCATCTTGGTCTTGTATTTTCATTTCATCTGTTAATGCAGAATTTGTTACACAGTTTTGCCGTGTTCTCAGTCGCGCACATCGTGCAGTGCATATCCAGTGTGGGGGGTGCGAGGTTCCATATCGCATAGATAATTGTTTCGCTATCCATTTCGTGAGGAAAGGCGTTTAGCATAACGTGAAAGGAATTTCAGTGATGAATCTAGACATATATAGTTGGAATGTGAGTATATACAATGTATATGCTCCGGTTCATGTATATTATACCTGGACCATAGCTCGGAGCACGTGATGGATATAGGCAGCTTTCCTCGGCGTGACGTCGCTTTCCTTATTCACAAACAGAGAACTCTCCCCGAATACCTAAATCTGAGCCCAAGAGCAAGCTTCGCTTGAGGAACGTGGGTGGCAGCAGAGCTAACTTACCTTATGCTGGAGAGGAGAGGGTTTCTGTGGAGATCCCATATAGGGTTGTTGCTACCATTTTGACGTTCTGATGAAACGGTTTCATATCGAAAGTTAAATTCAATGTACATGAGATGTATTTTACGACCAGCTTTGACTAAGTTGGCCAAACGTACATCAGAAATGCTTTGTTTGTCGTGTGCCAATCGGTCACTGACCGACAGTCAGATTATTGGACCAGATCCAATGAACTTCTGGAGAAGCTGCTATCGCCAACAACTTTCGTCTCGGCCTGTTCCCGTCTGCAACAGACCGAGGCGAAATTTGTTTGAAACTTTCAGATGATTTTTACATTCATGTCGCGACACGTCATCACAGTAGCAACGAGGAATAAACCTCACCTCACGAGGCCCCACCTAGGGCCGTTATGTGGGCGGTTGCACACGAGCTTCTGTTTGACGGGTGAGACAAATCTTCGTTGTATTTTTTGGCGAACTTTTCTCGAGAATTTTGGGTATGCCGGGCTGCTGGGCCGCGCCTGGCCTGCGGCATCCTAATGCAGTGTTGAAAAATACGATTTTGTTATCGGGATCATATGGCAATATGATTCGTGGAGCCAAGGCTCCTCGATTTTTTGAACAGTTTCCTGTTTTTGCACAGCTAGCGACCGATGACTGCCCCTGTGATGAGAGCCGAGGTATGAGCCTGCTCAATTTGTTGCTCAGAGCATTGCTAGACTCTGGCAGTCAGGTGACGCTTGTGGCATCGAATCGCCCCACGTGCCCTTGTTCTCATGCTGACCCCTCCCGAAGTGACATCATTGTCACCGGGGTCGGGGCAAGCGATCTGCGAAGCCAGTAATCCTACAGATAAGAACGACACCATCCTCTGAGGCGCTGCCCATCAAGGCATACCTGGTGAAGGATCTGCTTCTGGACGTCGACTTCATCGTAGGCATCGACTGTCTCGGACTGTTGAAGGCCAAGATCGACTTCTACAACGCCGAAGTAGCCCTATCGTCTTGTCTCTCTGTCCCGGTATAGAAAGCGCATGCATCCTCTATGACATCCCTGGGACTAGTTGGGGTCCAACAGCAACCTTCGGTTGGGCACGATAGCCCTCTATCCCCCTTACCTCAGATCACGTCTAGGGAGCTGGAGCTTTGCTCGACCATAAGAGATCGGAGACTCTGATTCGGAGTTGCTGATGCCCTCCTACAATGGTTTATCTGGTGATGGCTTGCTACAAAGAACGATGAGCCGACGCGCTCGGGAGAAAATGCTCTACGTGAGCTCACGAGCTCGTTTAGAGGCTAGAGAGGTCAAGTATCCTATTACGTCGATGCGGGTGATCAATACAATGTATTATGAGTCATGATTTATGACCTATATTGATCACAGCCTATGAGTCGGAAAGGTAGTATCGGTCGGTCTCGCCAACTGTGCCGCACACTGGTTTCATACAAGGCCAAAGCGCCGGATGGCTATTCTCCAATGGAGATCATCAGTTTCGCTTGTCACTCGTTCGAGTGAAGGTAATCATGAGACGGCACCTCTTCCTCTGGGACCGGTCGTTAGCCATTGCTATCGCGGTTGTAACGGAAGCTGATGGGGACTTTCGACATGTGTGAGCTGTGGGAGCGAATGCACCCCATGCCTGAAATATTAGCGATGCACTTCGCGCATGTGGGACACAGCGCATGTCGGACTTCGCGCAGTCCATTTGTTAGTACATCATGTTCATACATATATACGCATGCTTGTCAGACACAGCTTGTGTTGAAATTCGCTTCGTTGAGTACGGCTCGTCCTTTTGAGTCTGCAAAGGTTCGAGTACACCGTCATATTATGGTCTTCGAAATACACCGCAGACAGCATTCTTGTATACCATTATAGCCTACAATCCCAGCTTCAGCATTTCGAGTCGAAATTTTCGACAGAAATTGTTTTACGCACATGTTGACGGAAGTGCCGCCTTAAGCGGCTCAACTTGAGAAGTTCGCGTAGATTTTCCGATCAGTTCTATGCAGTCGCTGTTGCTCTGAGGCGGGCATACACTCTTAAATTCGTTGTATTGGGTCTTGCGGTATCATTGTTCTGGCTTCGAGTGTATTAGACCTGACCTAAGGTCAAAGGTCAGTGACCTTTTGGAGATCTAATCTCCGAGATCAGATATACCGCAACATCGATCGATTTCATTGAGTTATGACGTGCGAGTAGCCGTTGTGAAGCGTTTTGAACTTCTGTGTCTTCGAAACCCTGACGCGAGCTGCACGTTCATGTTTCAGGTTCTGGGCGATGTCCTGACGTTGGTCGATTGTAAGTAGGGTGAAAAGGTCGTATCCTTTTCAATGGAGTCCATACTACTACTAAGGACCACTTCTACGACTCTATACTGGAGGCCATGGTGTACTACACCAAATGTAGTGGCTACACATAAGCGCCACGATGATGGTATTTGCCGCAAATTGAGGCACAGTGCCTCAGTCACTGGATATCAATACAGGGGCGCATGTTCGGTTTTCAGTAGAGAGCGATCAGTCTCCAGTAGTCCGACTACTATAGTCGCATTTTCTCTCTCCGATGGGAAGAGATACCATATCTTCAAGTAATCGGATATTGAGTAATATAAGTAGAGATCAACTGGATGAACCAGCGATCCTAATTCGCATGTGTGACAGCATAACCGCCTCAATCAAATGCAAGGTAAGTCCACAAAAACTACGCGAGTCATCAGCGATAGTCGACACTGTGTCTACTCGGCGCACAGTATCTCTCCAAATTAGTCGTATGGGTCCCATACTATGGGGGTGATGAGGATCATCACTGATGATCCATCAGGCGCTGTTGTACTTATAACAAATATGATCGTAGCAGAGATCGGGACAGCCCGGAAGGCAACGCGGAATTTGGTGGCCATAAAAGGTTTTCAGTGGATAGGCCTTGAATTATGGCCCGTGGTAGCCACAATAGCATGTATAGCATGTACGCGACAAATTTTGAAGACGAAGACGAACCTGAACCAGGAATTCGCCTGAAGATGATAACAAAATGTATCGTCGCTGAGAGTGGAAGAGAGAGTTAAACGAGGGTGCACATACATACGTATATCAGTAAAATACATAAAATAGTGTAATCACTACCCTACATCACCTCGTCACGTTATATTGTTAGTAGTAAGTTACTGCTAGTAATATACTGCACTGTAGTGATATAACATGATAGAGTACATTGCAGTATAACTGAAGTATAACACTACGGTTGAGTTTGGGCTGAGACTGCAATTTTTTGCCTTCAATGAGCTCAACTCATTAAATCTGAAAATTGTAGAGTTTTTGAATGGTGTGAATCTCGTTCAACGGCTCCTTCCGTCGAAAGGCTTTCGAACGAACTGTATTTCTTCCCGTTCGTGTGGCTATGACACAATAGACAGCGCGTAGACCTCATTGATTCGAGGCTACGGGTTCGATCCCGAGAGAGTCTGTAAGGTCTGTAATATTGATCGGATGACTGTTCCAAATTTTGACTGTGCAATTCAGAATAGGGTGATGCTGAACTTACTCTCACCTCCTTCCTCTTCGTGCTTTTCAGGAACTCTGTTAGTTTCCTATGACAGACATTCATGCAGCAAACGCCTCCCTCAGAAACAGCTTGGTGGAACTCGCTTATACTCTCGTAATACAATTCTGCAGGTTCCGCCATGTACTCGCTGATGTTCTACTGATAGAATGAGGGAGCATCAGAGAATTGAGGATATAATTGGAGTTGTGGTCAATGGAGTGAATTATCACACTTCTCAGGATGAAGCAGTCGGACAGATCACTTTAGTAGCTGGGAGAGGGAAAGCGCGCGATACTGAGTGAGGCCTTGCTCCATGACACAATGCAATAGATAGCTTAACTTGTACAACTAGAACGTAGCGCAGATACGGTATCCAGAGTCGAGCCAAGCGGCGGGAATTGCAGGAACTGCTCGCTGAGCTGAAGGAAACGAAAAACGAAATTGCCTACCTCAGGAGGGAAGTATCAATTAACATCGATTGGTTATCGTTCAGTCTTCAAAAAATCGTCGTAGCCATTCAACCCTGTTGTTTTCTTTTATAGCTCCGTCAAAGAGAGGACCAGATACGGTCTTCTACTAGGCTTGAGAACGCCATACGGGAAAAGTAGGCTGCGGGTGCGGTCGGTGACTCCCGCGGGTAGATCTTAGTCGATTACAATATCGGTTTGACGTGGTCCACGTCACGTGGAGCATACATCGTTACGACGTCGTCATAGACTACGGCTCGTAGTCTAAGTCACGTAGCTGAGCCCTGGTCGCTCGTATGGTTATTCAACGCAATCTCTGTCGGAGTGTATCACCAGGTATACTGTGGCAACCACGATGCGTACCGAAATGCAGTCGTTGCAGAGAATCCTCAACGAACAGCATAGAGTGAGTCGAGGAATCGTTCATGCGTTTTCAGAGTTTCTGCTTCTGTTATTGCGAGCTTCATCGTTTGTGACGTTTGGATCTTACCCTGCCTTCGCAAAGGTTCTCCATTCGAATGCAGCCGCTGGAAACGAAAGCGGTGCCCTCCAGTCTGAAATCCAGGGAGCTCGTCAGAGGCAACACGTAATGACACCGCAGTGCTTAGGTGATGTCCTTAGGCTGTCGTCCTTGGGCGTTTCAGAAACTGCGGATTATGGCTAGAGACTTAGAGCTCGAACTCAGAACCAAACACCGGAAGTGTACTGACATGGCCTTGAGGCTGCGTGAAGCACAGAACAACCGCAGCCCAGTCTATCACGTGCTTGAGAGAGGTCGATGATGACTGATTCTTCTTCGTGACTACCATTCGCGTCAAACAGATACGCTCTGCGAAGACTTGGCTGATGAGGTAACTGCGCTGGATGCTCAGGTCATATAGATCTCGGCGATCGCTCTTCAATGTAGCGATCAGATTCAGAGTCTTCGGGAGACACGGGATAGAATCAATACACAGGGGAGTATCGAACAAGCTCGAGCAGCCAAGCAAGCACGAGACATGCAGCAGGAGATGAAGCGTCAAAATTCAGCCGCTGTGGACCGGGAGAAGTCTGCGGAAGTGGGTGCGATATCGGTTCTAGGATGACAAAAATCGCTAGGAGTGAACTAGGTTTCAAGAATGCCACAAGGCTTGACTATCGAATCAATGTTCATGAGGAGCTGAGACGGTCTCGCTCGATGTGTAGCTTTTTGTCAGTTGGCTTATGAGCACCTGTGCAAGCTACAGCAACATCTTCGAGATACTTTCCCAGCTTAGCGTGTCGCATACTCGATGTATCACTTTCGGAGTCAAGAACGTTACTGTAGCGTATGGAGTGGGATCGGAACGCAACGCAATAGTGAGGCTATAACACCGAGGCTCACTAACACTAGACATATGTGGCTGCTACTACAATGAGAGAGAGAGGTACATAATGCAAAGAACGGGGCCAGATATAATACCTAAACTTCAAAAAAGGTTGAAATGATGAGAAAAAGTTACGATTACTGTGAAGCAGACGATATAGAACCCCTGCAGCTCTAACATATGCAAAAGTGACGACATCGCACGGGATACGCTGAGAGACGCACAGGGAGAGAAGTGAACCGCCGGAACAGGGTCTACACGGCACACAGAATACAGCTGCGGTTGGTCTAGAGCAGGAAGACATCGCTATAGTTTCCAGTTCATACAGTTACTGTATTACAGTAGACCATGCTCGCTGCAAGACGAACTGAGGTAGAGATCCAAGAGCAGAAACTGATCAAATCCAAGCATTTCGCGTTTACAAATCATGTACTATTTGACATATAGTCAGAAGTATTGCTGTTACATATCGTTCTGCATGCCTATACTCTCCCTACTGGAAGAGGATCTCGCTGATCGCGTAGAAGACATAACTCTCCGGCACATTCAAGGATATGTAAGCAAGAACGAGGTCATCGCGTTGGCAGTATGGAGGCGCCAAAGATTCCAACGCAAGTCCGACACGCGAACTTCCTAGTTTCATCGTCACATGGTACGTTCGCAGTTGGAGCAACTCCGGTGATAGTAATTCTAACATATTGGAGTTAGGAAACAAAACTGTGACGTCATCGCCAAGTGAGAAGAGACAACAGACATTGACTGTGGTGCGTGGGATCCGAACAATAACGCTTTCGAGGACAGAGGCACACAAAACACGCTATCAGTCCGAATGATCAAGGAACCTAGCGGGTGATAGCGGGCTTCTTCTGTGGTTGAAGTCTGCAACGACGTCCTCTGGTTATTGACGTTATCGGATTGGTTAATCGATGGTTAAAGTCAAGCTAGAGATGATTACTAGGGAATATTGGTATCATGCCCCCTACGGCACGAGCTGAAGTGTTGGTGCTATCGGATTGGTTAGTCGAGTGTGGATGGAAGATAATTCAAGACGATGTGAGGTACGTGTATTTCTGTCTTCTTCGTGATAAGTGGATCTGTCCCTTATTTTGCGATAGCTATGGAGTATCTTTAGCCTAGCGTGAGACAATTCTTGCATTATTTATCATTACAAGTTAAGTCTCTACATAGTCCTCTTGGTATCGTGTTCATCCAACAAGTCAACTCTCCATGGAGCTCCACGATGGGTCTGGTCTTCCGTCCTTAGCGGCGCGTTGTGATGATTTGCGTTCTAAGACGACGGGGCTCCGCCGACAGCAAGGAAAGCTCCATTCTCAGTTAGAGGCTACTGAAGAATCTCTAGTAAAGATGGTCTCAAGCAGATCGTAGCTGTTGCGGGTGATGATAATGATCCGCCTGTGCTGAACCTTGAAGGTAGAGGTTCTCTACTAGAGAACGTAAGTCTGAAGAAGAGCTGGTGAGGCTGATTAATCCTTGATTGAGGAAGATCTTTGAGAGTGTTTGACCCAACGCTCAGTACAAACATCTGTTACGAAGGCTAAAAAAAGGAGTAAGAAGTCTGGTGGTCAAGAACTGGCTGAACTGCTAATCCATGATGATGACGGTGATGATGGTGATTCGTCGTCCTCGTTATCTTCAACTTCCCTTTCATTGGTACCTTAGGTACCAATCGGTACCGTACCAAGTCATATATCCTCTTGTAGATTTGTTCGTGGTCGGGGACGCCAGGCATATGCTCCGATGCCACCAGTTGAGTATTACTCTGGCAGAGATCGTAGAAGGCAGACTAGACTTTCTTCTGAGGCCGTTGATAAGATTCGGTTCCCCAAGCTCACTGGCCGCTTCCGCTTGATGTCTCATTTGAGTGCCTCTGGTCGTTTATTGGTGGAAGCCGGTGGTGGTATTCATATGGATGAAAAGAAGTTTGTTTCGGCTATGCTTTTTTGGCTACGGTCGAGGACAAAGAAGTGAAGGAATCTGCTCAACAAGAAGTTGGTGATAATTGCTATGATTGGGAACCTCTTATTGATTCCGAATCAATGAGAAGTTGCCAATCATAGTCGACGAATCAATGATTCGTCGGTTAAGCAGTTTTGTCGAAAAGTTCGATGGTGCTCGACATTGTGATGCTTTCAAACGAGTCAAAAACGTTCACATGGCTACTCAAGAGCATCATGACTATAGCGAGACTATTAAGAATGAGCTCCTTTCGTACGCCAAGACGGCATTGTCGTCTACTGCACGGTAATGTTGTCCAACCGTTCGGAGGCGGAGAGCCTTAGAGAGGAGACTACTGGATCATTGTCACGTTTGATCTCCTAGTCACCAGTGCTCTCGATCCTTCCAAATGGTTGCAGGGTGTACTTATCTTCCACCGAACAGGGATCGGTATCATGACATGATGCTTCCGAATTGCATTATCAAACCAGCCAGAGCCAGTCCGGCGACTCAGCATCGTTGTGCTGGTTAGCTCTGTGGGTCACGGACTGTGACGGCCAATACCGATCTTGTGCCGTCACTTTTCAACGATTCAAGTTGAATCATTCAACGGCGTTGAATCATTCAACGCCGTTGGTGCCTGCTCTGACAGCTGCGTGTTCGTGATCCTCCATGCCTGGAAGCCGTCTGCTCTGCGGGAAACAATCATGTGCGGAGCCTTCGTTCAGTATGAAATGCGCGGCTAGTTCAAGACATTCCCGTGATGGGCAGGAGAAGTTCAGCCTATGGCTACAGATATAGTTCAAGCCATCTGCGATAACTTCCTGCGGGACTTGGAGAGATGTAGATCACAGCTTATTGCCTCGTCGCGGCACTTGACTATAGTCAACGTAGTTCATATTTCAGCAGATGTAACGGTGAGCCTGTTTGCGTTCTCAATGGATGCGCAAACAATTTGGATCTCAATTTAGACCCTGTAGCTCTGCAAAGTCTAAAAAGTATCAAGACCATCAATTATGCCAAACATTGGGTGAGAAAAATCAAGTAAACGGAGAGAATTGTAGGAGTTAGCCGGACACGAGCAAGCCTTGTGACCATTCAGTGAATTCACCTCGAGAGAAAAATGCAGCCAACGCAGTATGGACCACACAAAGGGTAGCAGTTACTGCAATACAGTGTAGGTATCCTGATTGGGCCTCTCTTCTCATCTTCTCTATAAAGGCAGTCTCACACAAACTGGTTGCGGAAAGCAATCAAAGGGGAGAAAGGAAAGAGATCGAGAGCTTATGAACCGAAACACGTTGGATTGCTCCGAGTACGAGCTATGCTGTTATTCTCCTCAGTGACTTACTGACAAAGAATTGTTCGAGGAGTGCTGAGGATAATTGAGTCATCCTGGCTCGGCATGCATCATGCCACATTGGAGAGAGGCCACCTCTATCCAATGTGGCATTCTTATACATGATGTATAAGACATGACATGTACATTTGGTTGGATGATGAGTGCGAATCATTTATATCATTCTGGCTAAATGTCTTCTCGAAATTATGAATCCCATGTTGTCGGGAATGGGATGTCGGGTAAGTTCCCGGCTATAGGCTCTATCGTTAACCTATAGGCAAACACGATGCCAATTTGACGACAAGATGATAACAATGTTAACAATGAACAATCATAACATCGAATATGAACCAACAAAGAAACCCATCCCGAAGGAACCTGGGGCCTGGGAGCCGAATACGATAGGAGAAGAACTTGATGGCTGTCTCTCTTCAAGAGAGTCTCTTGGTCTAGTGTCATTCAGGATAGTATCCTGAGGATAGACTCAAAGATTGCAGGTTGTTACACACAAAGGTTCCCCCAGGAGCGTTGTTGCGGTGGGGAGATGTTGCACTTGAAATTCTGTCCCACTCTTGAATCTCATCGCACTTGCCTTTCAGAAAGGAAGACGGGCATCTACTCGGCATCTTCGGCAACAACTTCGGCATCCGACTTGCCTTTCGGACCTACATGACCCCAATATTATCTTATCTATGCCCGCCAGGGGCCCTATCGTATGACCAATCAAGTAACGTTGGATGTGCTGAACGACGATCTCGACAACTATCCAGAAATTCAACTATCAACATTCGAATTCATAGAGACGATAGGTATGCAGAATCATATCAATTTGATATTATCAAAGCCTAACGCGTAATTAGAGAGATCGTCAGACTCCGACGGTCACAGGCTCACACGAACTATCATTAAAGGCAAACGATGAATCAAGCAAGTAATCGACAACAACACAATATGTGGTCGTTAAAAGGTACCCAATATCTCTACTACGCCGAACTAAACTAATCCAAAATGGAACAAAGGCTGGTAAAGCTCGTGTCCCCAAATATGGCGCTTGTGGCCGAGGAAATAAACGATCATTGATCGAACAGAGTTTCAATCATTTTGTCCTTCTCTATGACCTCACAGCCTCCAAACCATTCGCTCCTCTCATTTGCGACTATGAAGTATAGGAGCATCTGCTGGTGCAACTCGTCGACGACCTCCAAATAGGATATCTCTTTTCTGTTGTTCAACCGTTCGGAGGCGGAGAGCCTCAGAGAGGAGGCCACTGGATCATTGTCACGTTTGATCTCCTAGTCCCCAGTGCTCTCGATCCTTCCAAATGGTTTCAGGGTGTACTGATCCCCCACCGAACGGGGATCAGTATCATAACATGATGCTTCCAAATTGCATTATCAAATTAGCTAGAGCCAGTCCGGCGACTCAGCATCGTTGTGCTGGTTTAACCAGCCTGGTTAGCTCTGTGACGGCCAATACCGATCTTGTGTTTGCTTGTCGGGCCCGAAGACTAACAAGTGGTCTATGGCCATCCCGGATGGCCCATCCGGGATCAATGCGTCACACAAACCTTCGCGTCATCACCTCATACATATGCGACCTTCTGATCTCACAGAAAGAGTCTATAAGTGCAATGAATTTTTAAGGAATCTTAATTATAGTCAACGTAGTTCATATATCAGCAGAAGTAACGGTGAGCCTGCTTGCGTTCTCAATGGATGCGAAAACAATTCGGATCTCAATTGAGACCCTGTATCTCTGGCCCAGAGCCTCTGGGAAATCTAAGAAATATCAAGACCATCAAACATGCAAAACATTGGGTGAGAGAAAATCAAGTACAAGGAGAAAATTGTAGGAGTTAGCCGAACATGAGCGAGACTTGTGACCATTCAGTGAATTCACCTCGGGAAAAAATGCAGCCAACGCAGTAAGGACTACACAAAGGGTAGTAGTTACTACAATACAGTATAAGTATCTCGATTGCTCCTCTTTTCCCATCTTCTCTATGCAAGGAGTCTCACACAACCAGGTTGTGACAACCTGGTTGCGGAAAGCAATCAAAGGGGAAGAGGAGAGGGATTGAAAGCTTATGAACCGAAACACGTTGGATTCCTCCGAATACCAGCTATGCTGTTATTCTCCTCAGTGAGTTGTACGAGGAGTGCTAATAATAATAGAGGCATCGAGGCTCGGCATGCATGTATAAAACATACAATGTACATTGGGTTGTGCGATAAGTCAGAATCATCCATATCGTATTTCCCATATGCCTTCTCGAAATTATGAATCCCATGGTGTCGGGAATGAGCGATGAATGAAATGTCGGGTTAGTTCCCAGCTATAGGCTCTATCGTTAACCTATATGGCGAGCACGACGCCAATTAGACAACACAAGATGTTCACATCGATGATGGCTGTCTCCCGTTGGTCTAGTGTCATTCAGGTCCTGAATCTCAGGATACTATCCTGGGGATAGACTCCTGAGGAGTGCCGCTTGTTACACACGAACGTTCCCCCAGGAGCGTTGTTGAGGTGGGGAGATGCTGCACATGAAATTCTGTCCCACTCTTAAATTCTTGTTGTACTTGCCTTTCTCCCAGGGAGACTTGAGTGCACTTGAGTCATAAAACTTGCGTTAGGTTAGGGCCTAACCTAACGCAAGTTTTATGATTTCTTCATTGCTGGCACGTTAAAAACTGCTCATACACGAGTCTTGCTGAGTTGTCTCGTTTCCCAGCTGAGAGGGGTGGATTCAACAGCGAGTTGTTTCAATTCATTTTGACCTTCTGTGTTCTAACTTACAACACAAACGACACCAATGCCAAGTAGAGCAACGGCATGTCATGACGCCATAAACGCAGACACAATCAAATGTCCACCTGGTGCAATTAACCACTTTTAGCTCCGCCGATCAGTCTGGAAGAGGTAAAATCATTACTCACCTCAGCTGTCTCAATTCTGGTCCAGAAAGTTGCCACCACTCACCATCATCGATGTCGAACTCATCGAGGGCCATCCATTCAACGAACTCGTCGAATTCCAAGGAGCCAGATCCGTCCGCGTCAATGATGACCCATTTGGCCTGAGTGGTGTCCGCTGCCTATCCTGTTCGGGCTTTCAAGATAATGACTATTGCGAAAACTCTTCGTAATAGTCGTTACGTTTGATAATGACATGCTTTTCGCTTTAATTTCGAATCACTAATAATTAATGATTAATTCTCAAGCTCTTGCCGAAAACAGTGACCGCGTGACGTGCTAATCTAGCAAACGAGTTTGATGAATGATAGATTCAATTATGTTCATTCCTCAGAGAAGTCGCATTACAGGACTATCTATCGGGTTAATATCAGAGTCGTATACAGACTCTACGACTCTGATAATAGCTTACGGCAGGACTAGACTCTCTAACCCTTGGTATTCCTTTTGAATAAATATGTAGTGATAAATTATCTACACATTCCATCGAAATTCAGCAGACGCTTTCTTCCTGGCTGGAAGCTCCTGCCCTCCTCAGACATTCTAACGACACTCACCTCAAATTCCTCGTCAGTGATATCCGGACACAACTCCTCAGCCAACCCACGAACGGCAGATTTGGATAAGGACTGATGAACGTCATCCCAAAAATACTCTTCCATATCGCGCCTACTTGTGGGTTCTCAGGATAATCGTCGCGCCCTTCTGGCATCAACGTTCCAAACTGTTCTAGCAACCATTCAAGGCGAATTATGCTTATATTGTATCTACTGTGCGTATTGAAGTGACCTGTGATAGTCCTCGGCTGCTCTCACCTGTCCGATAGCTCTTTCATAGAAGGTTTGCGCTTTCCTCCCGGAGCGGTGCTCTGCCGTCCACCACAGCTTTCCAGGACAGAATCTGTAGAGGAGACATGGGGATTCGAATATCGTATTTGCAAGAAGCGACGAAGTACACACCTCTGTTGGCCCCCTCAGTTTCCTCATCTTTTCCAGCAAGTGCAACTCGCAGCACATGATCGTCCGCTCCAGGGCTAGGATGCAGATCTCTGGTTAAACTGAGCATCCACGAGACACAGCCGCTAGAGATGTTGTTGATAGTCGAATGTATTCAAAACATCGATATCTGCTTCGTTCATGCCCTCAACATGCAAACCTAGTCTGTTTTGCTATACCGCAGAGTGGCTGGAGCAAGGCGCCGCGACACCGTGAAATATTCCACCATGAAATATTTCAGTCACCCTGCTATACCGCATACCACATCGAGTGTCGTCACTTACGCCACTCTCCGTTTCAGGGCAACGAATTCCTTGCGATCCATCATCTTCTCAAGGCTCTCCGCGTCTACCACTCCGTCCTCACATTGGCAAGCCAGAAGGCGTTGCAGTAGCGCCCATTGCTGCACACAAACTGCCGTCCTGAAGGGCCAAACTCAGTTGTTTCGATCGGACGAACTAGCAGGAATCGCGACTAAAGCATACGGGAGAGAGAGCCAGACGTGTCTCTTCATTTAAAGGGTGAGCATTCCTCACCATTTCGCGTCACCAACGTCTGGGACAGCAGCCAGCTCAGCAGGGCAGCAATTTGGGTCTCTTTGTAATCCAGCTTTCTCCATGAGAGCACAGATTAGCTCAACATGGCTACCTCTAGAGGGCACCTAGCGTGAACGAAGTTCAGTCGAAAATGGCGTAAAAGTTTCGTCACCTCATCGTCGGCTTCCTCGTCTTCTGCGAGTTCATCGCCTGTGAGGATGAAGTCTTCATCGAGTATTTTCCGAATTTCCTCATTTTCTGACAACTCGTCGCAGAGGTTATTGAATCTGATAAGAAGAGCATCGCCTCTCAGTGAAAGCCCCTACCCAAACTGCATACAATTAATGTACACTATCGATAAAGTATAGTGTATTGCACTACAGTACAGTAAAAATAACTATAGTGACTATAGGACCACATCGGCTGTGTAGAAGGGCAGTTGAGAATTGCTTCAACGAGAACAGCCACGAGTTGACTCGACGAGCACTCACGAGCTCATTTTCTCGCCAAATGAGCATCCCCTCGGACGGGGTTTCACCATACTTCGAACTTATGAATTTCGCGAGTTCAACCCGAGGGGAATTTAAGACTCTTGGAGACAATATCGAATACCCCAGTCACACGCTTAGTCTAATGACTGAGCCTCACAAAGGTAGTTAAGTAGCACAGATAGGTATGCAGGACTCACTCCGCTTCTTCACGATCCTCGTCAGCACGTACGGCAGCAACAATTGCTATCTCTTCCTTTTCTACTTTCTTTGCTTTCTGTTCCTGAGAATCGAAAGTATACATCCCCATCGCATCTTGGCTAAAAAAACTATAGCGCGCTACAGGAAGGCAGAAGCGGTTGACCATATCACAGTAGTCGATCAAGGCACATGCGAGAACAGTTATGTCGGTGACCTATACGGGTATTGGACTGTTTTCGTCTTACTTGAGCAGCCTTATGGTGTTTACGGGCTTCCGCGCGGACGAACGCCGTCCATTTCAAAGGCACGCCTCCTGCAGGACATCGAACTCATGCTCGTGACGAAGACGAGGAACTTGATGTTGATTCTCATGGCACAATGACCGCAGTGTGTTCAGCATACTCAAGGTAAATGATGACTATTCTCGCAGCTACAACAACTACTAGAAATTCCCACCTACTGATATGGACCATTCGGAACGAACTTGGAGGCTCTCGGTCATTTGAATTCGAGTGGATTCCCACCTTCTCCTCTGGGCGGTCCAGCGAACCAACTCCAGAACTCCGCGAAATCGATAGAGTCCTTCCCGGTGAAGTTGTTGATGATGTTCTTGCTACTGCAGTACTCGGCGCTGACAAGCTCGCCACCGAGGCAAGCTAGTTCGTCTAGAACTGCTACGACTCTTGGGAGGGCGCTTATGCGGACTTGTCTTCTGGAAGAGAAGCCGTTGAAAACACGTCGCACTAGATTCTCGCGACGATGTATCTGTGATGAACGATCGCGTGATATATTTTCATCTTCGTTTTTCATGAATAGTATTATACCCGTCTTAATGAGTTATTCGGAACTCATGAAGAGACCTCCATCAAACGTCCGGCGACTATACGATATCAACATCATATGATGCGCCCACTGCAGCCATTATGAGTTTTCATTATAAGTATTGTCATAAAGAATACGTTTTATTTTTGATATATCTTCTTATTATTTATAATTATATAAGGTGGAACTTAATATATTTTTTCATTTAACATATCTAGGTCTACAAGTTCTCTTCATGAACTAGTCACTATCACTGTGCGATTTACGACGGTTTCTCACCTCTCGACGGCCCCGTTCAATGTCCACCCACGCAGAGAATTGTTTCAACTCTCTTTCTCGCTGTATTCCATCTCTTTCAAGAGTGCCACTATTAGGTTTGTTACGAAGTAGATACTGAGCTAGCCAAGCTAGCGGACAGAATCTGTTGCGGACTACCGGGTCTGCGTCCTCTCGGAAGTGGAGGCGTTCAACCTGGACGAACGAGAGCATTCAATGAACGACTTGTGAAACGATTATAAAATTGATTCTCCCACGGAAAATGGGACCAAAGTTGATTTAGAGTATATCGTATCGATCGCACCTTTTGAATTTTTTTGAAGACTCCCGACGGAAATTGAGAAATATTGTCATCATGATATCTCTGTGCGAGCGTTTCAAGAGCTGCACCGTCACCAAGGGAAGAGTAGAGGTGGACATGTGTGGTGCTGAAGCACCCACCTCGAGTGAAAGCGTTGCTAGCGCCCTAGCTAGAATCGGCCATAGGGCCTCTAGCAAGTAAATGTCATAATCAGTATTCGTTGTGGAAGGCAGTAGGAGCTCATCGAAGAAGCTTCGGTCGAGTATGATATCGTCCTCGACCGATTTAATGGAGGGCAGCCTTCGTTGGTCTTGAGAGACTGGGATCACCATAACTGGGGGAACTAATACGATTCATGCGATATCCAATGCAGTTGGACCGGACCGCTCCCAGAATCCAAATTTACACGTTAAATTCAATTCCGGTATCGCTCTTGAAGCTCAGCAGAGGTCTATTGAATACACCGAGTTTAATTATGCTCGAACTGGACCAACCTTGAGATTGTCAGCAAACTTCGAAGGTGCGCTTTTCACTTCGCGCTCGCCATTATAATCGATAATCACATGGTCACGATATGAAAGTTCTGAGAAAATTTTGGGGAATTCGTATTGGTCTCTGTACATTTATACCCGAATTCGTATTGGTTTCTGTACATTTATGCCCGAAGTCGTATTAGTTTCTGTACATTTATACCCGAGTTCGTATTGGTTTCTGTACATTTATATCCGAATTCGTATGTCAACAGTATAAAACAGGTTTCTGTATAGTGAAGGTAACTTGCTGATATGCACTACTCCTCTTAGAAGTAGGAGATCGCTTTGTTGCCTTCTAGTAGGGCCTCCGGCAGACACCCTCATCGCGCGGCTCTTCAATTCGGAGAGAGGGAAGGCTCAGGGTAAGCCTCCTACCCATGTTGGGGATGTTACCTCCGGAGGGAACAGTTGAGGAGGAAATGTTTCTGAACTTTTCCAAAACGGTAACATTTTGTAGCTTAGAAAAATCTGATCATTATAAGTTCTACGGATAAGAGAAATTTCGATAAGTATGATCATACTCGATCACGAACAGTTACAGGGTGTAGGCGAGGCACGCTGTTCATATTACTGTTGGGCGATCGAAACAGAACACACTATGCAGGGCGATAGTAAGTAATCGCGATTTGTGATATCGCGTACATGTGTTTTTCTGTGCATTTCGAGGCGTCAAAAGGCGCTGAGCATACGGTTGTGTACACATTCATGCAGAAGTCGAGAAATACTTTCTAACGATATGTGATAAGAAGTTCTGCGAAAAAAATGTTCAATTTCTCCTGAGATGAGCTCAATACTTTTCTCAACAATCATGGGAGTTTATGTACGATTTGGGAGAATTTACGAGGAGTGTCTAGAAACTAACAAAAAATTTTCAAAGTTTTCCTCAGAGTTTTCATATTGTCACCAACACATGTGGTTGATGAACGTGTGCAAATTTATTTCCACACTGCTTCTAGGTGTCATAACTCATCAGCTGTGAAAAGTTTCGGGGAAGGGCGGCACCCTGAAAATTTTCAGATCAGATTTTACTGTTTCTTTGGTTACTCTCCTTATGTGTGGCATATGCCTTCACATAATCGACACATGCGCAAGTTCGATCCCGGCATCCTACAAATTCGAAAACCACTCAGCTTCTGCCAAACTCCCCGAGATGGACGACCTCCTTCGCTGTCGCGGCCCTGATCGTTTCAGGAGTCGGCGGGCTCATTACGGTGATACCACTATGGAATTCAAATCTGCGGTTTTACACATGCGCGGCTCGCAAGGTGCGGTGCAGCAACCATACTGTACTGACGACCACATCCTCCTGTGGAACGGTGAGCTCTTCAATGACGAGCTCAACGGGCCCAGCAGAAGCGACACTATTGAGGTTTTTGATAGGCTGTGCGCAACTGAGGAACCGATCATCGCTTTGGAAGCTCTGAAAGGACCATTCGCGTTCGTATATTACGATGCGAGGCGGGGGGAGATCTGGTTTGGCCGTGATAGACTCGGCAGAAGGTCTTTGCTGTTATCTAATGATACCGAAAATGGTCTGACGATAGCCTCTGTTGGGAGTATTGGTGGAAAATTTGAGGTTGCTGAGGTTCCGGCTGAAGGTAGCGTGTACTGCCTTGATTTGAAGAGCCGTCGAATTCGGGAAGTCCCCTACCCTACTGGAGTTCCCTTTAGAAAGGAAGCCTTCTGGAACACCAACACGACCGACACCGGAACGCCAGAAGAGTTTCTGGTAGTTTTACGGCGAGCGGTGGCTCGTCGTGTCCGCATGTTGGACCATCCTGGACCTATTGGTATCTTGTTTTCGGGTGGTGTCGATTCGACGACTCTCGCCGCGCTCGCCCTAGAGGAGTCGGACAGGCAAGTTGATCTCCTTACTGCTAGTGTAGATGGAAGGGACTCGCCCGATCTGAGGACAGCCCTGGTCAGCTATCAGCGCCTAGCGGAGGTCTACGGACGTGCGAGAGTGCGGCTGATATTGTGTGGAATTGACGCGAGTGATAAGGGTATGTATGATCGAGTGATGGGTCTAAGCAGCCCTGAAGTGACGCATATGGACGTGAACATATCAGCAGCGTTATGGACGGCAGCTCGGGGGGAAGGGGTGCTCGTTGAGCCCGAGCAATGCGGAAATGACGAGTTCCGTCGGGCTGTGTTGAGGGAAGAGAACGAGGCCTCAGCGGAGTGTAGGCGGATGGCTGTGCATTCGGAGCCGGTAAGGAAGAAGTGTTCGAGTGATGGTTGCTCTAGAGTGGCTAAGGAGAGCTGCATTCGAGGAATGTGTAAGTTCTGTTGTCGTAGAAAGGCTGACGAGGGAGCTTCGCCTTATTGCCGCACGCACAAGGCGGGGGAGCTACTTCGGAATGGCGAAGTAGATCGCGTTCCACTCCCGCTGGTCCTCACCAGTGCTGCTCCTAGAGGAGCGTTGGTTCGATCGGAGGCTCGAGTGCTGTTGGTCGGCCATGGTGCGGATGAGGTCCTGGGTGGTTATGCTCGGTATCGGACCAGCGAACTCAGAGGAGGCCTCGATGGGAGGAGGCGAGAGATGCTCAGAGATCTGCATCGGCTTTGGCGACGGAACCTTGGGAGGGACGATCGAGTTATGAGTGATCATGCTCGAGAGCCCCGGCACCCCTATCTGGATGAGGACCTCCTCAACTGGATCGGCCGCCACCGACTATGTGATAGTAATGTGGAGACGAAACCGTTGTTGCGTGGTGCGTTGAGATTAATCGCGGGGGGAGCGTTGGGGGACTTGGCAGGATTTAGGAAAAGGGCTATACAGTTCGGCACGAGAATCGCTAAGGTTAACAACGTGGCTCATTTTGGCAGCAACAGACAGGGAAATGGCGAACGGAAGTTCAGCGGGTTGTGAGATTAGATGGTAGAAGCTATCATGATCGAGAGCAGGGGAAGGCGGCGCCAGGGATGCCCGGAAAACGGTGGTTGGATATGGACAGCTTATTTCTCGTCAATGATGTGGCTGCTTCGCGTTGGTCAATTTTGGTGGGAATATTCGCCGCTTTGCTGAAGGCAATTTTGCAAAGTACGAGCTCGCCTGAAATCGTTTGGGCTGAGGGCTACCAGGCAGTCATCTATCTGTTGGGTTGTGGCGGTGTGAGGGGGTGAGTTCCTGATGAGAGAGTTAACAGCAGAGGTGTTGCTCATTGATATCAGTGGTCCTATCGAACCAGGCGGAAGTTTGTAAGGCTACTGCTGACGATGCTACCACCGAAACACATGTACTCTTCGTAGATTTTCAATATAGTGTGCGGGTGAACATCTGTTGAGTTGTAGTTTGGGTGGTGGTGTATACGAAGTCTTCTATGGAGTACATCATTCGAGACCAGAATTATAACAAAGAGTGGTTCGAGTGTGAAATCGTTGGTGTTCTGTAATGTCACATCTCGGTGACGGTAACGAGTCGGGATTTTACGGCTGCTACTTGTTACAGAGCGAAGCGTCACCAAATGTTGGCTATATCGGATTTACAGTTAACCCTCGGAGAAGGTGAGCCTTGAACCATAGCATTCGTGTAAATCGGTTGTCCTATGGTCGGCCTGTGTCTGTGACCGATTTGATACCTGGAAGGGTGGATTGATATATCGCTACGCCCTTGATGGCTTGTAGTTGTTGGAGTTCATTCGGTCAGGATTCGACAGCACAACGGGGAGCTGAATAATGGAGGAGCACATCGGACGAAGCGGCACAGGCCTTGGAAGATGTTGTTGGTTTGCTATGGATTTAGCAGTCAAGTTCAGGTAAGAAAAAAGTCACTACCCGGATTTGAACCGGGGTTGTCACGGCCACAACGTGACGTCCTAACCACTAGACGATAGCGACTTGAAATATAACATTAGAGGGGACATACAAGAAGATTACTATCACCGACTCCTTGGCATGTGGTGTTAATGCATGTTCCAGTGTCGTTCAGGCATTACAGTTCGAGTGGACGTGGCAGCATCCCAGGTTATCACGACTCACTCGAGAAGGTCTAGCCAACATAGGTGAATCACCCGGCAGTGCTGCTTGCCCGAGTGGATCCTTCCGGATTGGCTGATCCTCCTCTCATCAGGTAAAGGCCTGACCAAGCGTGGGCGTCAGAGGACCAATAACGTCCATGACAGCCTTGCACTGGTCATCGGCATGCTTCACTTACCTCCATGGTCCCGCATGCCGCTCGTGCTCAACGTCCTCGAGCCCGGGGTGGCTAGCGCTGTAGAAACTAAAGTAGCGGAGTTCAGGGCTGCGAGAGGTAAGAGTGCGGCGGGACGCGTTCCTTTGCAGTTCGTCTCCCCATAGGTGAAGCGGCCTCGAGCGCATGTTTCCGGATAGAACACTTACCTATAGAAGTTCTCCATCGAACTCATGTTGCAGGGAGTTCCCAGGTGAGATTTTTCCGTGACCATGGAGTCTGCCAACGTGGAGTGGGAGGATACTCTTACGGGACGCTGATCAAACCACATTAGCTGGGATTGGAGCTTCTAAGAATCTTCATCCTCAGGCGCTCGTAGACGAGGCAGACAGTCGCAATCATTGTTGCTGTGTCTGCATGCAAGCCTTCACGGTGGGGGTCACCAAACGAGCGGTATGTTTGTCCTGTCGGACTTCTTCACACATCACATGCATCGCTTCTGAAGGATGCTGTGATCCTACTGGATCCCCGGTGCTTGATGCAGAAGACCGACTTATCCCGGACTTTGTGAGTAAGACTGCCGCCTCAGACTATCAATACGGAGATATTACTACTCATATAATATGTATCCCTGCATTAAGGACGTTATTTTACAATATTAAATCATCGTTAACGTTCCGTAACTGTCTCGAGTCTGATCTGTAGTTTGACATAGCGTCGCTGCTTTCAGAATGCCCTGTTTGCGACGATGTCTCCAAATGGGGTGATCTACTCCGTACAGTAGGAGTCTATCAAAGACAGCCCGAGACTCTTGGCAGCAGCGATGAGGAAGATGAGAACGACCTGGACGAGAACGAATTTGAGATTGAGGAATCTTCGATGGATGTAAGCGATGTCTTCTGCATGAAATGTTATAGCACAAATACCCTACCCGGGGATCGAACCCGGAATCTCCACCTTAGGAGGGTGGCGCCTTATCCATTGGGCCAGCAGGGCGATGGTTCATCTGATCACGACAGACGTTATACTATCCATTCTTTGCAGGTGTCGCCTGACAGATTCCCATAGATCATAAATACATCAATATCAAGCCAGCTAGCTGTCCTGCCAAGGCGATCAAAATAAAAGTGTTCACTCTGATTCTTTGTGTTGTGTACAAGTGAACAATCGGTAACTTCGGGTTACGCAACGAGCGACATATCTATCTATTGTGGCCACTCATCGAGGTCTACTACTGAATGGATCAAATTCGAATCTCACGTTACAGATGAAGTCATATAGATAGATTACAGCCACTACAGCAAGTCATTGTGGATCTTTTATGCGCCCTGTTACTGACCCGGCTCAGGCAAGTAGTGATTCTGCGACTCGACGTCGCGTGGTCAACAGCTCCCGAACACAGAGTTGATTCATGCACTTAGTCTTTAAGTAGTGATCGTCAGAGGACGTACCCTCCCACAACCATGAAAAAACTGTCAACGCGACTACCGTGATGCTGATCCTAGAGACTGTATATCCCAAAACTAACCATGACAAAAAGACAAACGAATATATGATAACAACTCCCTCAAAGAGCGTGACCAGCTCGACATCCAGCCGATGGCCATCACATCTTGGAAGTGCCAGCAGAGCGGCTTAGGGGCCTAGCAAGGGTCATCCCGCGGAGTTGAGTGAAGAATCTCCTCTGTGGTGGCTTCTCTTCAACCCCACAGGATGCCTCTGAGGAGTTCGACAGTGTTCTGGTTTGGGGAAGAGCTGGGCCTGAAATTGCAAGGATACATCGATGATGATGATGATGATGCTAGGCGACCATGAACATACACTCTTTTATGGACTGCAGCAGAGCCAAGAGCTCATGCATCTTCTCGAATACAACGTGGAGACTCTTACCATTCACCACTAGGCATCTGCAAGTCAAGAAAAACAGCATGCGATCGATTTACTCTTTCCTCGATCGACTTCAATCCAATACGCAGGAGCTACGATATAGAACAAATCAGGGGCATTCTGCAATATGAACTCAAAATAGCCAGACCTATCACCGAGCAGTTTCTTATACCATCGATCGAGTCATATAGTACATATATAACAGTATGCGTGTATACATATACGTAATATACGCTACACCTGAACACAACGTATACGTATACAGTCCGGTCAAAAAATGTCCGCAGCCGTTAAAAGTAAGAACAAAGGGATGATCCCGAGCTCATTAGACCAGGCATTCGTAGGGCCATCAAGAGCTTAAATGCTTCAGATCAGCTCTGGACATTTTTCGACCGGACTGTAGTGCACACAGCTGAACGATGAGGCTCCAGACAGGGCAGTTCACACTCTCCCCACTCGAGTAGTGAAGTGGCGTATGTGCTCACCCTCGTTTTTCCATTCCTCGAACTGCCTTCTTTGCGAAGTCAAAAGAGCACGCCTCCAAATACACACACTTGCCCTCCGCGAACATATCCTTAGCCAAAGTCGATGCTGACGAGACCAGTTCATTGAGAGTAGCAGACCAAGGCCTTCCGTGGCTGCATGCAAGAAGAGCTACGATCCACCAGCACTCCACGACTGGTCCTATGAGGGACACCGCGAAGTCTTTGAGCTCAGCGGACTCTATAGCGGTTTCGTGTGGGTTGACCAGGGGAATGCATTCTAGTAGTAGTTCCTCGCGAAGGAAGGCCAGCTTGTTGGGATCACCACCAGCTAAGACTAGACAGGCCTCGTGACCGAGACGGTAGATTAGCTGATTGCGATAGTAGCTGAGTAGAAGTGTGGCGAACAGCGGGTTGGTAGGACATACCGAGTATCTGATCAGTAAGGCGCTCACTATAGCTACACAGAAGACTCAAATCTAGCAATGGTATGGACGGGGATGACGACAGTACATTCCGATGAGAATCACGAGGTGTTGTGGAGAAGGTTATATCAACAAATCAGGTAATCAAGGTCTCTACTCAACGATTCAGCAATGGCACCCAGTGATCGATCGATCCTCATCTGCTTTCGACAGTATTAAAGTGATTGTGAAACTTTCACAGTGAAAGTATTATTCCATCGGAGAATAAGTCAATAACCGAGCTCACTTCACTTCACCGGTCTCCTCCTCGGGCGCAGATATGACGACATGATCGACGTAGAGGGAAGCCACGCGGGAGACAGCTGAGGAGGTCTGAGAGGATACACCTAAACGTCATCACTGAGGGTCGAACCCACGCCCTCTCACATTGTTGTCGTCGAGTATAACCGTTACACCATTTTTCCTCAATATACCACAGAGCCATCTCACTTTCTCCACCATCACAGGGTGACTTACAGCAGGCGACGAGTCGTGTCGTTTCCACAGCAAAATTGCAGCCACCTAAACTCGACCTCTCTCGCCCACCCAAGGCCTCCAAAGACCGACCAAGTGAGTGGTGTGAATAGGCATGTTGGCATCCAAACGATCAGCCACTTCCTCAGCGAGTTGTTGAAATGGAGTGGTATAATATTGATGACACTTCAGCCCGGAAGGAGGAGAGTGTTTACCTATGAGCGACTCACTGCGAGCCGTGTATGAAAATATGCATATTGTAAATGAAATTTGCGGAAATTCTCATTGGTTTCTGTACATACTACTTTTATAACTAGCTTTGGAAACTCCTGAACTCAGATGAGGAAAGCGAACTCCACTGCCCACTTTTCTGATCGTCCTTCCAACGTTTTACAACATCGCTGACTCGAATCGGTTGAGGATCGATGTGAACCGTCAAAGTTCCAAAGTTCATAGATAAATAACGTAGTGCTCTGCAAGGATAAGAGTGCGGCAAACACTGCGGTTGAACTATGCCTACGAAACGGTTCGGGCGAGGCTTTCAGCGACCTTGGCTCGGCCTTCCAGCTCGGTGGCGAGGGAGTCTACCTCCATCACTCTGGAGTAACCGATAGAAATCGGCACGAGATAAACATCCTCTTCATCTGAGCGAGATATGCTGGACTTGAACCGCAATGGTGATTTCTCTATACAGTATGGCTATGAAGATTCTGGTTGGAGTTCACTAAATTGTGGTACACGAAATAAAAAAAGGTGTTTTCAACGCACTCAGTGTACTAGACTTACTACTTAGCCCTCACCTATAAAGTTAGCCATCGAGGTAGCGTTCATCGCATTATGAACAGCAGATTCCGTAGCAAATCTCAGAAGGCCAACCTTGGGAGGGCGGATCATCGTCCCACTTCTAGAGCGAGCTCCTTCGATGAACATCTCAACACACCCTGAATAAGGGAGTTGTTAACAGCGTGGTAAGAATTGCACATGAGTTGGTGACAATATGAAAATTCTAGGAGGAAATTTTTGAGGAATTCTTGCCGGTTTCTGTACACTTCTAACCCAGTTAGTCTACGAACTCCCATGATTAGTGAGGAAACTCATGTACTCAGCCGAGGAAAGCGAAGATGTATTTCAACACTTGTTATTAATGAGAAGTAGAGTATGAGGAGGCGACCGATGATCACCTTGCTCCTCGAGGATGACCTGTATGTAGGTCTTGAAAACAATCGAGTACAGAGGATGAGTCTCGCTGTTAAAAGATCTTTTCATAAAGAATGCACCTACATTCGGACCAACATAACAACACATTCGAAATATTATCATCCGATGTAGTCTAGCTGGTTAGGATTCGTGGCTCTCACCCACGCGACCGGGGTTCGAGTCCCCGCATCGGAAATTTTTCTCACCTGAATGCTGCAGTATCTTCCATATTCCCACGATGGAAAAGAAGTTATCTCCGGTAGCAATAAAAGGTAGCCGAATGTCGGCACTGAAACAAAACCAACGACCGAGTAGACCTCCTCCATACTGCATCCAAAGCAGCTTTGAAATCTTCACTCGACATGACTCAGTTGCATCACATAAAATTCCACTCGGAGTTTGAATATAAGCTTATGTGATACAATTGAGTAATTTTGAATTCCAAACGCTCTTACTAGTCTACCGCAATTGTGATTCCCTATGGCCTTCAAAAGTCAGTCGATGCTACTATCTGACATTCCGACCAATAGAACAACTCTTTTCGAATCGACTAACACAAGACTCAAGATTCTCCTAGGCCTTTACCACCCAAAGAGCAACTCGAGCACACGTTACCGCTATCCTTACTAGAAGCAAATGTAGCTGAGAACTAGGAAATCGATATAGCTCCTATGCGTCGGTAGTAGGAGCACCTTGGCACCACGTTTATTCAGCCTGCAACAGAAAAATGCCTCCAGTGGGAATCGAACCCGGGTCTCCTACTCTTTCAGCTTCTCCAGACCATCGTGGTTGACAAGTACTCTGTCGTATATCGAAACGAATACGCGATGCAATACGATGACAAATGCTCGTAAGATGTCACTCCTCTGGTTGCCCATAATACGGTCCTGCCAATACACAAAAGTACCGTGAAATTTTTTTCACGAAAATCGATTGCGAACAAGTTCCATATAATGAATTTACATAAGAGAGGCTCATATCACCAGTGTTGGAATATATATTCGCATCCCTCAACTGAGCTCGGGGGTTTCCTCAGAAATTACAGTAGTTTATATACTAATTTGTATAACAAACGTACACAAACCAGCGAAAACTTCTCAAAATTTTCATATTGTCATCATCATCACCAACACATGTAGTTGATGACCATGTGCATATCCCTTTCCCCCCACATTTTCATATTGTCATCATCACCAACACATGTAGTTGATGACCATGTGCATATCCCTTTCCCCCCACATTTTCATATTGTCATCATCACCAACACATGTAGTTGATGACCATGTGCATATCCCTTTCCCCCCACATTTTCATATTGTCATCATCATCACCAACACATGTAGTTGATGATGACCATGTGCATATCCCTTTCCCCCCATTTTCATATTGTCATCATCATCACCAACACATGTAGTTGATGACCATGTGCATATCCCTTCCCCCCACACATATTACAAATTTGAGATTCCAAGTCATTGCGTTGGGAAAGTTACCCCTTCACACGTATTTTCGTTATCGGGATCGCGCGTACTATACCACATCGAAAATGAGCAGGAAAACTTCAAAATCCAATAAGAAATTATTATTCCAATCTTCGAAATCTTCTTAAAATTGCTACTTTAATCATTCGTTAAAAACACCGAATGCAATCCCATTGCGAAACCGTGGCATTTTCCAGTTTTAACATGTGTGAAAATTTCAACGACTATCGTCGAACAAATCGTACAATTTTCACAACCACCAAAATTATGATATCAGTCTGCTAAAAATTCAACCAGCACCGACGCATTCGACCGACGCTGATGCGAGCGAGTTCAAAATGCAGCGTGGAAAAGCATGCACATGCTCAACTACATATGTTGGTGACAATATGAAAATTCTGAGGTCGAATTCGTATGTTAGTAGTAAGGAAACATCTGCGCGAACGTACATAGTACATTCCTCGAACACTATACATACATACATAGTGTGTTGAATATACTATATATGTATAGAATACACATATATGCTATGTTCAAGGAACATAGTATATTCCTCGAACACTTGCCGTACCAGCATCGCCGCCGCCTCAGCCTTCAACTTTTTGCTGTGAGTAGCATCCTGAACAGCTTTCGAGTTCATCACCAAAGCCTTCACTCGATTCATATCAGGCATATAATACGATACTGCTTCCTTTCGAAGTGCCTACAACCATCTCAAAATTACCGCGCGCCACAAAATTAGCCCACAAAGTTGAGCACTCCTCCATGCTTCCACTTTGCGTCCGACAACACATCAGTGTAACGTAGTGCTTGCTGCATCGTCAGACTCCTCCCCAACGATGAGTGAACATCATCCAAGACCTCCGCTCCGCCATTTTCGATCAAACCAAGACAATGGAGGAGGTAGTTGTGAACATGAATGCCGCGTGCATCTTGACAGATCTCCGGTGCTATCAACTCTAACGAGGAACTGCATACCTAAGAATATAATAAGTGGATCGGACAACACGATACCATACGAGGCGACATAAGTATTTAAAGATTTTGATAAAATGGAAAATTGATGGTACCTCGTTCGACGACTGAGCCCTGCGGAGAATAGCGCCGCTCTGTCGACCATCAGCAGCAGATGCGCGCCCGCCCGAGTGATCGATTATCAATCTGCGTAACTTCCCCCATTGAAGCAGTGGAGATGCCAACGCTAGAGCATATACTTGCGGACCCTCACCACTAACCTGATGAAAAAATACCTCCACCACGAATTGAACCCACAACCTTCCCTACCTCAACCGAGCCGCTTACGCATTCGACTGCAACACTGACAACAACCCTAGCAGCCAGATCCGCTGGGGTGATCAAGATCTCCGCTTTCGGATCAGTCTTCCGACCATCCAACGATGGCAACAACGAAATGACCATCAAATCTCCCACGGCCTTTCCAACAATCGCCCTTCTATCTTCTCTCAACCCTTGAGACACTTTCGACCGCTCCCCCACCGAACTGAACA